GTCGATCCCGGAGAGAGCAGCCATGGAGGAGTATGTGCAGGAAGCCTTACAACAGGGGTTCATCCGTCCATACACCTCACCCGCAGCGTCGAGCTTCTTCTTCGTGGCCAAGAAAGATGGGGGGCTGAGACCATGCATCGATTACCGGACCCTCAATGACCAAACGGTGAAGTTCGCCTATCCCCTTCCTCTGGTCCCGGCGGCCTTGGAGGAACTCCGCGGAGCCTGCGTGTTCAGCAAGCTGGATCTCAGGAGCGCCTATAACCTCATCCGCAGTCGCAGGGGTGACAAATGGAAAACTGCCTTTGTAACGCCCACCGGGCACTACGAGTACCGGATCATGCCCTATGGACTTTCCAACTCACCCTCCATATTCCAAAACTTCATGAACGAGATCTTCCGAGACATGCTCAACCGGTTCGTCCTCATCTACATTTACGACATACTCATTTACTCACCCACGCTCAAAGCACACCGTCACCATGTCACCCAAGTCCTCCAGCGCCTCCGCCAACACCACCTGTTCCTCAAGGCCGAAAAGTGTGTGTTCCATCAGTCCACGGTTCACTTCCTGGGATACATCGTCACCCCTGCCGGGGTACAGATGGACCAGAGGAAGGTGGATGCCATTTGGAACTGGCCCCAACCAAGTACCATCAAGGAGATGCAGAGATTCTTGGGGTTCGTAAAATTTTTTATAGCCCACTTCAGCCAGTTGGCGGCACCCCTTACCTCTCTCCTCCGACGGAAGGCCAAACTCCTCACCTGGACCCCGGAGGCCCACCAGGCCTTCAGCCAGCTCAAGGTCACCTTCTGTACGGCCCCGGCCCTTTCACACCCAGATCCCAATCTCCGCTTCGTGGTCGAGGTGGACGCCGCGACCCTGGGAGAGGGCGCCGTCCAGTCACAATGGCGAGGTGAACCCCCCCCGTGCTCCATCCATGTGCGTATTTCTCATGGAAATTATCCCTGGCGGAGCAGAACTACGACGTGGGAAATCGGGAGTTACTGGCCATCAAGCTTGCCCTGGAAGAGTGGCAGCATTGGTTGGAGGGTGCCAAGCACCCATTTAAGGTGATCACCGAACACAAGAACTTACAATACCTCCAAGAGGCCAAACGTCTGAACCCTAGGCAGGCCTGCTGGGCGCTGTTCTTTACCCGCTTCCCCTTCGTGGTCACTTACTGTCCCGGGACTAAGAATGTCTGTGCGGACGCACTTTCCCGCCTACACCAGCCGGAATCTACCCCCGAAGAACCAGAGCCCATCCTGCCGTCTTCATGTCTCCTATTCAGTGGGCCCTCACTGACCAGATCCGTGCCACCACTCTCACCGAACCCGCTCCGCCGGGAGGTCCAGAGGGGAAGAGCTATGTCCCATCCACCCTGCAGATAACCCTTCTGGACTCCGTTCACACCTCTCCAGGATCGGGGCATCCAGGCAGTCGCCGAACCCTCTCGCTCCTCCAGAGCCGCTACTGGTGGCCCCACATGGCCCGAGATGTCGCCCGGTATATCAGGGGTTGTTCGGTCTGTGCCATCTCCACCACGCCACATCGTCTGCCCGAAGGGAAACTGGTCCTGCTACCCAACCCTCGCCGGCCCTGGTCCCTGCTGGGGGTGGACTTTGCTATGGACTTACCTCCCTCAAACGGATTTACGACCATCCTGGTAGTCGTCGACCGATTCTCTAAATCCTGCAAACTCATTCCCCTGTGGGGACTACCTGGAAACCGCCGAAACACGTGTTCAGGAACTTCGGTCTCCCCGAGGACATTGTTTCAGACGGAGGACCTCAATTCATCTCCAGGGTCTGGCGAGGGTTCTTCCGCCTCCTGGGAGCATCGGTCAGTTTGTCCTCGGGATACCACCCGCAGACCAACGGCCAGACCGAACGGTAGATCCAAGAGATCAGACGGTATCTCCGGGCCTACTGTCATGACCATCAGGACAGCTGGAGCCAGTACCTACCCTGGGCCGAGTACGCCCAGAATTCCTTACGCCAAGAAACCACTGGAGTCACCCCATTCCAATGTGTGCTCGGTTATCAGCCACCCCTGTTTCCTTGGATTTGGTTTCCAGCGGTAGATCACTGGTTCCGTGAGAGCGAGAGGGTATGGGACTCAAGGTTGCAAGCTTCTCTGTCCTGGTTCCTTGCCTCCCGATCTGCCTGTTAACCCTCGTATTCCTCAGTTCTCGGCCGGAGGACCGGAGTGCCGACCCCAGATAAGACTATGTTTATGCTTCCGTTAATCCCTATGTTGAACTCTTTTCCGTTGGAAGCCTCTCCTCAGTTCTTGTTGTTAAACTCTTGGACTTACGTTAACCTGCCTGTCTGCCTCTTTGTCCCGGTTGTGACACAAACATGACCAAAAGGCTGGTTAGAATACATTGCATCGACGTTGCATGAGAAGTCTTAGCTAAATTAAATAAACGGAGGTTCAGAGTTCACAAGCAGGCCGATAAACACTTCATTTTATCATCACAAATAACTGACAGACAAAATAAGTCAACTTGTGTGTAGTTTAAACTTGGGCTTGAAAACAATTCAAACTTAGTTTTTAAGACGGAGCAGTCATTCAGTCCAGAAACTGAGGCTGAATTGATTTAGCAATACAAGTATTCTTTTTTTTTTCGTCACTTCCTGTTTGTTGCTGCCGTGTGGTTTGAGTTTGAGCTCCGTCAAGTTAATTCTTTGTCGTCTAATTTTTATCTTAAAATCAATTTTATACACCATCCTTTTTCAGTTTTATAACGTGTGAATATATCCCCTATCGTATTCTACAACAAAAACAATCAGAGCGCTTTGTTAGCACTAGTTCTATTTTTGACTTCCGAGTCCGCTATTAGCATATAGCCCGCTAGCATCGCCAGCGTGGTTGCCGCTAATCTCGCTTACACTAATACTCTATTCACACACATTTCCATTGTTTTACTCACTGTTACTTGCTTTAATGGCGGATGTGTGTCTACCTTTGAGTGCAGGTGAGGACACGTTCGAGATGCAGTCGGTGCAGGTCGAGCTGGAGGCCAAAAGCGCTATATAAATAAAGGTGACTTGACTTGACTTGACTCATTTATCTTTACCTGCATTTTCTGTATTCAATATTGATGGAAATTAGTAATTTTCTTGCTCTCCTTCTGAACTATCTGTAAAACGTCTTGTTTCTTATTTCTGGCTGATCCTGCTGTGCTCCTTCTCTCTCTGAAGCAGAAACTGCTGTCCTGCAGGGTTCTATAGTTTCTTTGTTTACATTTATCTCTATCACTATTATTCATTAACAAATTTCATTTCAGAGGAAATTCCTCTTCTGAATTCCTCATTATTCCTGTCAGTGTTCCATTAATTACAGCTGTCACAATGTTATTACTGTCCTGTCCTTATCCAGGTTAAATGTATTATTTTAACCCCTCGACAGATTCTAATTGGAATTCAGTATGACATTGTCTTAGTTTCGAACTCAAAGCGTTTAATAGTACATAACTTTGCTCTATAATTTGTCATTACAGCGTGTTATAAAGATCCACTGAGGCGCTTCTGTGGTATTTCTGACTGACCCTGGACTCTGCACTTCTAATTGTTCACATGCATTCTCTATTTCGTCTAATGCTTGTTCTCCAGCAGCAGGTTAAAATTTAATCTGCAACTCCTTTTTTTTTTTAATTTATTTTATTTTTTTTTGTAATGTGGTCTCTTCATGTTTTTCTGTTCTTTATTCTGCGCTCGAATAAAGAGTTTCTCATCCCTAGTGTCTAGGGTTATAAATCTTAATGTCTCTGGTTCATCTCTGTTTTTCTGCACTCTTGAGACTTTTTGCCAGTTTTTAGAAGTTTGATTTTAAAACTTCTCTTATCCTAATTCTTCCCTGTTTAGTAATCTCATTAGTCTACTTTTTCTAAATTGCATTTTTGTTATCCTCTAATTTTAACCTTCCGGTATTAAAATTTGTTTAAGTTTTAAATCCCATTTCAAGCTGCACAACACTCTGTAACTACCTGACTTAATCTTTTTGTAAATTACATTTCTGTTTGGAACAACTTTCTTGTCCCACTTTCATCAACATTTTCCATTTCCCTTACCAGGTATATTTGTCTTTACTTAATTTTTAATGACTTTATTAACGACTTATTTTCTCTTTCCTGTTTTAACTAATTTATTTTCTTTACCATACATTTGTCAGGATTATGGACCTGTTTTGTTATGTTTTACCCTGGTTTCTGTTCCTGTTTGTCCATATTTGGTCATGTTCCTGTCCTCGTTTAGTTTGATTTTTCCATTGATGTCACCTGTGTTCCCCTGATTGCCCTGTGTTTAAAAGTCCTAGTCTGTACAGTTTGTGTTTGTCAGTTCTACTCGTTCTCTACGTGTGTAGGCTCAAGCGCCTATTGTGGATTATCTCCTGTGTTTCCTTGATTAAAGACAATTCTTGTTTACTCGTGCCTCCTGCGTGCTTCCTCAACAGCATGACGTGACAGAAGACCTGACCAAAACCGTAACCTCCGTGTTTTCTCGTTTTTCTCTCAGTGCTTTTGTTACCGTAGTGTTTCCTGTTATGGATCCCTTCACCCGCCTAGATTTCCTCCTCCTCCTGCTGGAGCAGGGGGATAGATATCTCGAGGACCATACTAGACTATTCCAGCTGCTAGCAAGCACCACCAGCTACCCTGATGACGTGCTCTGCTCATTCTATGATGCAAGCTTGAGCACAGTCGTCTGAAGATGGTCCTCGAGAGGATTTTGTCACCTTCGTGTAGTGGACTCTGGCGAGAAACGGGTCGCTATCCACCACCTGCCCCATGGATGATCTCGTCAGATCCACTCCAGACCCAGTGCCCAGCCCACCATCTCCCCGCTGTGTGGACCATCAGCCCGAGCCCACCGATGACGGAGAGCCAATTCCTGCCACGATCAACTAGCCAGCACAAAGCCAAGCGACTAAGCGGAGGATCGCCCCGGATGTGGAGCTCAATCCGTCAGACCAGGTGCGAGAGCGGGCGACCATGCCCACCATGAGGGAGCAAACTGTGGACGGTGAGAGCACAGAGTGGAGCTCCGCCCACTGCACCGCGGCTGAGGGTGAGCTGATTATACATCTGGGACTGCTGGACTTAGAAGGGGACTTAATGTTTGTTGCTGCCGTGTGGTTTGAGTTTGAGCTCCGTCAAGTTAATTCTTTGTCGTCCCATTTTTTTTAATCTTAAAATCTATTTTATACACCATCCTTTTCAGTTCTATAACGTGTGAATATATCTCCTATCATATTCTACAACAAAAACAATCAGAGCGCTTTGTTAGCCATTCACCCTGATTCTCCTTGGCTTGGTGCCTCACCAGATGGCTTCATTTACAATCCATCCACACAGCCCCCTTTTGGACTGGTCGAGATCAAGTGCCCTAACGTGAAGAGCTACGTGGACTGTAAGTATATTCAAATGCAGCATGGCACTTCAGCACTCCGTGAAAGCCACTCCTATTTCTGGCAGATCCAGGGTCAGCTGTTGATCACTGGCCTGCAGTGGTGCGATTTTTGTTGTCTGTGCCCAGGAAGATATGATGGTGCAGCGAATATATGCTGACCCGAAGGTAACAGTAGCCATCAGAGAGAGGGTGGACCAGTTTTATTTTAATATGTATATGCCAAAGTACCTGTCCTTTGGCATATACAAAAGGGTGTAACGATTGATGCAGGATAATGCAATTGAGCACAAAATATTTTGAAGAGTGCTGGAAACCAGATAGTTGACTGTAGACATTCACTTCCATAGTATTTTTTTCGTTACATGGAAGTCAAAGGCTACAGTCAACTGGCTGGTTAACAGTATTCAAAATATTTTATTTTGTGTCCAACAGAAGAAAGAAACTCATGCAGGTTTGGAACAACTTCAAGTTGAGTAAATTATTTGGGGGGGGGGACATTTTGGGGTAAACTAACACCTTAAGTTGGTTTCTTGACCATTTTTATATTTCATATATTTAAGACTTTTGTGAGCTCTTATGTATTAAAATTAAGTGTTTCATTTAATAAAAATGTTTAAAAACAATTTTTTTTCAAAAGTAACAAATTGTGATGTATATAATACAATGAACAAAGAGATTATTTCTACAGATTTATTTTAATGACAATAAACAGTTCAAATAAAAAAAATATTTTCTCACTCTAAGTTTTCTATTTTCATTCACTCTAAATATAATATATATACAGTGGGTACGGAAAGTATTCAGACCCCCTGTGGCCAGAGGAATAACAGTGTCAAACAGTTTATTCTCTTAGATGCGCCTATTTGCTCTCTCTACATGTATCCTTAACCGTGGAATGTCCTGAGTGACCAGCACTTCCTCGTGAGACAGCTGCGACTTTTTAGTTAGAAAAGGTGGTCTGTAAACTTTGCAGGGCACTAGGTCATTAATTCTAAAACCCTTATCCACCATTACAGCCATGTCTTTATCCAAAAGAGGGATAATGCCAGATTGCCTGAACAATTCTTTGTCACTGACAGCACCAGAATACAGTGAGGAAACAAAAGTAACAGCGCCATGTGGTGACACGCCAATCATTCCTTTCAGGGTAGTGTGGGATTTATACCGAGAAAACATCTCACTCTGTAAGAGTAAAGATGAAGGTGTCTGACATTTCAGCTCAGTACAATCAACGATAACTTGGGTGTCAGAGTATTTGCCGAACACACTCGGCATTGTGGCTCTAATGTCCTCAGGAGACATCCATATTCCGACAGCACCCAGTAAAGTATATAAAAAATTGACCCAAGTCTTTATGATCCTGCTGACGGTGGACTGATGAATGTTGAACCGATCCCCCAGATCCTTCTCCTTCAGACCCAGCGACAGGTAAACCAAGAAGAGGAACAGTTCATCGATCAGTGGAAGGCATCGGCTCTGGTAAGGAGGCAGGGGAGCAAGTCTTGGCATTAATACTGATGATCATTTCCTTTTTATAATAAATGTATATTGAAACAGATATGTCGTCTTTGGTGCGGATTAATAAGCAATTTGCTTTTAAAAAACAAATAATGGGTAACACTTTATTTTAGTGTCATTGTTAGACATGTTACATGTCCTTACATGTAACTATACATAACTAATCCTAACCCTACAATAAGTACATGATATTGCAGGGCTGGGCAACTTCGGTCCTGGAAGGGCCACTGTCATGCAGAGTTTAGCTCTAACCCTAATCAAACACGCATGAAAAAGCTAATCAATGTCTTCAAGATCACTAGTAAGCTACAGGCAGGTGTTTTAATTAGGTTTGGAGCTAAACTCTGAAGTTGCCCATCACTGTTATTGATTAATATTACTCACTGTATAAATTACACTGTAACATGGACAACTTAAAGTTGTGGACAACACAATTCTCCTAGTTGCAGATTCAATCATTCTCCAAAATGCTTGCAGATGGCGGTAGCTGGGAAATCTAAAACGTTGAAAGAAACATTACCTTCAAAGCATACCAGATTATTTCTACCAAAATAAACTTGCACTGACTGATTTTAACACATATCAGTGCCTTTGTTTTGTCTCGAGATGCACACTAATAATGTTTTTTCTAAGGCATGTTTATAAAAATATAATAAATGGCCTAATCCTGGCTTAGCCTAAACATTGTCTGTGAAACCAGGCCTATGTGTTTTGTTTAAGTCTCATCTTACTTTTATTTATATTCTTAAATATGACCTTGTGCTCATAGGGTTCCCTTTATGAATGTGTATAATAAGGTTATTTAATGAATGAATGTGAACAGTTTTAAGTCTGCAACAAAGTCATTACCACATTGATATGAATATCATGAAACACAAATATGTACCTGGTATAGAATCTGATGTCATCGTCCGATGAGGAAAACCTCTCCAAACCAAATGACTGCTTCAGTGTAACCTCTTCCAGCCTCTTTTGCAGTTCTTCAATCACCTGCTGTTGCACCTCTATTTTCTCACAAGCCATATCCAATGCTGATGGTTCTGGCTTGGCATCGTAATCGTGGCATTGAAGCAACACTTCAACATCCATGCTTACCTCTTCAGTGACTTCATTCTCTGGCCGTTGTGTTCTCTCCCAGACGCTTGGTCTGGCTGCCGGTAGAGAGTAGTCATTCCAGGCAAACAAAACAGGCACAGCCCCCTCTTTTAAGCGTCGTCGTCCACCTTGAATGACATCCGTGGAGATGAAATGTCTACTGCAGACTGCCGTGTTCCTCTTAATTACCAAATTTTCACGTCTCACATTACGAATCCATATTTTTCTTAACGTTTCTTCCTTTGGGAAGCGGTGAAAACTTACGCTTGAATTGAACTGCCCAGACACCACACATTGAGGCACACAGCAAAAATCACTGTTAGGATTTTCCTTTTTCTGATACTTTAAGGCTTTTGACAAAGGCATTTTCTTCTCAAAAACATTCAGATATTAAAATAAAAAAAGAACATGCAAATAATACGAATAACAACAAGCTACGACAGCACATTAACGTACTTGCCGGCAAGCGGAAGCGAGTAACCCAGGGTTCCGGTGTGGTCACGTGACATTCGACATATACCCTATTGAAGGTGGGAGAGTCAATATTGTTTATTTAACAGACTTACTGTTAATTTCATTGTTATGTATGTAATTTCAAATAAGTTTCTATTAAAAATTATTGGATGCCAAAATTGTCTTGTACTGATTAAAGTTAAATATCTACTTTAATTCTCTGCTTAGTTTTACTTCCTTTCTACATTTATTGTCTCATTTCAGTTGCTGTTGCAGTTTTAGGTTTAAACTTTAAGATCGCTGCACTTAAAAGATTTTTCACTGCAATCCGTTTTAATGATATGCAGTAACTCATCAGACAGAAACCAGATCTTGCCTGTGCCGTCACTATTCTCTACGGTTGAAGCCGTTTACACAGATTTCTTATCTTTTAAAACACACGCACACCTAAAATATGTGCCCTGGGCATGTTAATCTCAGATATTATTTATTAACATAATTTTTGCTAAAAATACTTCAATATTTAAATTAAACCTTTAATAATTCTGCCTTTCTGTTTTCTCCATGTTAAAGTGACGCCATCCTACATTTTTCTGGTATTATTATTCTTCAACTATTTACATTTTCTAGCTCATAAGTCTATTATTCACTTTTTAACTCCCTTTTGAGTATTTTGCCCTTTTTTCTAACTCAATCTGGACGGGATCCAAAGGATCTGAACCGATGTCTTTCTCCTTCAAAGTGACTTACTCCTATTCAAGCACGTATCACTCGTATAAACTTGAATGAAGAGTCTGGCTCTGTTAGTGAGGCGTCCCTCTCCTGACAGAAGCTCGGTCTCTTCAGCTATTCTAGCTTCTCTGAGACCTGCCGTATGAGATCTGATCTCACCTCTTTATCGGCTAAATAAACCTTCACAGCCCTCTCAGCTCGTAAGGTCTACTCATTTTCATACGCATACTCAACCCTTTCTGGGTCGTTTAAATAATTCCCTATGAATTATTCTATTCTCTTTTGGGTCTTACAGGATTGATTTTTCTTGAAACATTTCTTATTTCATGTTCTAAACATCAAAATATACGAACGAGTAAGCCAACTGTCGAGCAATTGGTCATCAATCCTGGCCAGTAATTGATGATCAATCGAGCCACGTTGGGTGCCATGTTTTATGGTGTTTCCTACACCTTCTACCTTATTTTATTTATTCTCAGGTTAGGTAAAGTAAATCAAATCTGTCCTATCTCATAAGCATCTGAGTTCATACTTACAAATAAGTGTGGTGTTTTACTTAAACCACTTTCTTAATAAAACAAATGCAATATTATGTGTGGCGTCTTTCTTAATAAACCACTTTCTTAAGAAATCACTTCCAATAAGATGTACATTTGGTTGCAATACAAAGGTATTACATAAGAAGTAAAGGCACACTTGCAATAGGACAATTACTTAATTTCCTCTACAACATGCAGCAGTTACATATTTGCCTGTTTGAGACCTTCCCAGGAAATAAACTAAATAATACACCCTTAGACATAATATATTAACTA